CTGGTCTTCCTGTAGGTCATCATTATTCTAGAAAGCTGGCATAATGAATTTTTACTAACTCAAGCAGTGCAATGACTTTACCTTTAACTTGGACATTGAGTCAAGTTCAAATGAGAATGTGTAAAAAGCTGCCAAAAATGAAACTTGTGTGTTTTGCATTTGCTCTATTGTAAGAAGAAATTAAAAAAACACCTGTTTTCTGACATACAAAACTCTAAGTTATCGGGGAGCTCTCTATCATTTGAATACTTAAAGAAGACTTTCTTTGGCATAAAAGGATTATGGAACTTTTCTCCAAATCTTGCATCCTTTGCAAATTCTTCAATCATATTTAGTACCTTACATAGTGCAATGTTTTCATGTTCTCCTTAGGGAGTTCTGGGTAGATATCAGATAACTGTATAGGAAAAAGATTTATCACGAGTGCCCACTCTGTAAGTGAACTCTGTTTTGAACAGTTCAGAGGAGCTGTGGGGTTGCTTTTTTCACAAAGAATGTGTTTATTCTTTTAAAATAACACAGTTCTTTGGATTGAGGAGGAGAAATCATGCATTTCACTTCACACTGTATATGTTGCTGTGCACCTTTCAAGCTACGGCTTTTAGTATACTCTTTCCTTGGGCAAAATACACATTTTCTAACATGATTTCAAGCAAAAGGAATCAATTAGATAAAATGATTCTAATTGATTGAATCAAATGTGCCTGGTTGCAGGTTGATTGATAAGATTTACTACACTGTGAACAAACTAGTCTTCAGGCAGGAATCCAACTGTTCCTAAAGGCTGATACAAAATCTTGTGAAGATGAGTGTCCTTTTTCCTACTGTCAGACATGTTTATTTCTCTCCCTTTTTAATTTTTGATTATGCAATAGCTAAACACAAGACTTCATTTGTCTTTTATGCCCCATTGAAAAGAGACAAATTCTTGAATGTATCTATGGAGCCTCAAAATTATAACATAAATGTAATCAGGTTTGATCATTCTTGTTGGTACCATGGTCACTTCTTTAATTATTGCCAAAACAATCTGTTTATATGTCTCTTTTTGCACATACTGAAATTCTAATTACAAATGGTATCCAATTCCTAGGAGGTATTTCTCTTGTTCCTTTTGGCTATGCACTAAAGCTCTCATTTTATGAGAAGCTGAAGTCGCTTAAAGGGACAGCTAAAGCATGGACAATATTTAAGTGTTCATTAATGTGTATGGAATGATTATATGTATCTAAATAATCATTAATGCTTGTTTTATAGCATTCTTCAGAAGGCACAACTGAGAAGCGGCATGTTAAATTAATCTCTGGCAGGGTAAAAGTGAAGTAAATTTCTAGCAGTGTCCATCTACAGAGAGATTCATTTGCTGTACCATGGTAAATGAATAGACGATTATGTCATAGATCATTAATGTGTATGAAGATTTGTAGAGAGATGTACTTTACATGAAGACCATTTCTATATGGTTCCTATGTGATTACAGTAATAATACTTGTGGTTTTGATGCTTTCAAAGTGCTTGACAAGCAATAAGCCTTTCTGAGAGGCAGTTATTAGCCTCACATTACAGGCAGCAAACCCAAAGTTCAGAGAGATAATAGACGTGGTATTTATGAATGCTGAATGAGAATCGATTAATCAAAGTAAGTCAATGATAATTAAGGGATTTTGCCTTCTTTTAGAAGCTGTTTAGTTTCTTACAGGGTTACCATTTAGGTCACTTGTGCAGACCAGAGATTCTTTTAGAGATGCAGATGTTTGCTCATGTTTTAAGGGATCAGAGGATAATTCTGAGTATATGGATTAGTTTTAAACAGATTTAAGCACATTTCTGAGCATCTACCTGAAGAGGTATTATTTTGACATAGGAACCTTACAAACTTTTGTCTCTACTCTTTTCCCATTCCCAGCTGTGAATCATGCTTGTACATGATAGGTTTTGTGCCCTGATGCTAGTCTTCTTTGGTTCATGGCACTTACATAAGAATGAAAATTTAAATGGGAGAGATGCTTGTATTCCATTTAATGAATGTGAACTGTCCACATATGTTTCCTATCGGCATATATCGCATTATGCAGTGTTACAGAGCTGAAAATGTGAATTTCCTATAGCTGTTTTTGTATTATTATTATTTTCCTCTTCCATTACCTGGCTACCAGGTATGTCTATGGTGGCATGTTTCTCATTTCTTCCTAGTAAAACAGCACAGATGATGTAAGCATTTTTAGATGACATTATGAACAATAGTGCTCTACAAAGTAAAGCTACATAATGATCAATAAGGATAAACAGAATGAGCTGAAATCACTCTAATTATAACTCAGTAAAGATATCAGAGTGATAAAAGGATGTATTTGAACAATGTGTTTTAGATGGTGCTAAGTACTAGAGTTGATCGGAAAACTTTGAAACATTTGTTTTGAGTTAAATATGGTTTTGATTCCATTTCCATGAAATAATTTCTATTCTCATTAACATTTATAGCTGACCAGAAGGGTGAAAAAGGCAAAGATTACTGTAGAACATAGAAATAACTGCTAGATCCAATAGTAGGTTTAAGTGTCTAAATCAGGTCTATGTACTGTAGTGTGTAAATCCGTGTTATGAAAGTGTATTTCCAGTGCAATATGTCTTGTGCTCTTTAATGCCCAGTGACACACTTCCCCCCAAGTTTCTGTAACTGTCTGCCCAGTATATTGACAGTTACAAACCTCTTTTTATTTGCATCCCTTCTGCAGAAACTTTACTGATTTGCAAATACCAATCTTTGGAGCAAGTACTTAAATCATCTTTGCAATCTAACTCTAAAACTTTAACTCTACGTGAGTAGGTCAGGAGACTAATAACAAAGTATTTTTTGCTCCTTGATCTGATTGCACTTCAGCAATCAAGAGGTATCAATGTCTTATGTTATTAAAAAAAAAAAAAAGAAAATAAAAAGGAGTTGATTGTTCAAGGAACATCTTTTTAGACAGGGCAGATCAGATCGATCATCTGCATTTTTTTTTTTGCTAGCTTGTGTTACTAATGTAAATTATAATTTTAAATTGAAAGAGAACTGCTTCAAGAAGAAGATTATGTTTATTTAAAAGAATGCAGGATCCCATTTCTCACTGGTGGCAGCTGTCAATTCAAGCATAAGTCTCCTCCATTCTACTGACCTGTGAATAGGATACTTCACTTATATACATGAGGTTTCGTAGTTTTCAGTGATAAATAAGTACAGTACGCATTTTGATGCTACACTTTTCTCCTAGTGTCTCCTAGTTATTCCATTTGCCTATTCCAGTTTCTTCTGCGTTTGCAGTATGTATCCCATGCACAGCTGTTAGGACAAGGAATTACCTTCAAAATGGCCGAACCCTTCAAAGCATAGGAAATTGGTTATTGTATACCTCTACTCATCTCCATAATTTCCCTGTGCTATGTATTGGACACTTTGTTTGCAAAGATTAGGATCTGGATCTAGACAACATGCAGTTTAAGCATCTTAAGTTTGTGTATTTATTATTCTTAACATTTTTTCCCACTGTTTTTTAGGGAGTAAATCTTTATGCAGTGATGGAAACTGGAAATTTCATCTGTACAGCTTTGAACAAGAAAACAAACTCAAAAGTTGCACAAGCTTCCTTCAATATTGGACCTGTCAATTAAATGAAATATTTTTATGAATTAATTTCACTTGTCACATACTTTTACCAAGGACATTTATATTAAGAAAACAAATTCAAGAAAATCATTTCAGTAGGAAACCAAAATAGGAGCCAGATGTAACATCTTATTATGGGAAGGGTTGCTGCACTCTAGTGTCTTGTCAAGCATTGCCTGATCTGCAAGTAAGAAATAAATGACTGCACTACAGAACCATATGCTTGGTACTTCTACAGATGAGAAAATATACACGTCAGGACAGTTTGCGGTATATTTAAATTAAATGTAAGTTCTTTTCTGAAAAAAATGTTTAGAAATAGAGAATAAACAGTTAACTTTTATCAAGATGGCTTCAGAACAGTACAAATATTTGCAGTAGTTTATGAGATCCCACATTGTGTGTGGCCTTTCTATTATGTGTTTTATTTATTTGGATCTATACTTTTCATTCGTCAAGTCAGTCATGTTATGAACATGGAGCCAAATCTGAATTCACCATAAGAAATTTTTAGCAATAGCACTTTTATACTTTATACTTTTATTTTGTTTAACATCTGCTAAATATATGGATGACTTTATCTTGTTCCAGGACTTCGTGGTGAATGGCAGCCTGCCAGATCCTCGAAATCTAATGCAAATATCCTTATTTGTTACATATGTCAAATTTGTTGTAGTTGCCTTTTTTTAACTGTGTTAAAATCTAGTTATATGAAGCAACTAAAAATGGCAAAGTTTCAGCCATCATTCAGCATAGTAGTAGTGTAGAATGGGCTAGATTTTTGTCTATAAACTTATCAAACATCTTGACTTTCATTTTATAATCTAAGAATTGATATTCTTGCTTAGCATAAATTATGAATTTTTGAACATGATAATACTTTGCTGGGCTAGTTTACACAGAGAGAACCACCAACAGTTTTTCTCTGCGGTCTTCTGATGGAGCCACTGTACTTTTAAATGTCTTAGTTCGGATGGATGGTAGTGAAATGTATTGTCATTTGTATATCAATAATGTAAAAAGTGAAAAAAAAAAGGAGCCTTATCATCTCTATAAGCTGTTCAAATGCTGCATGAAAAATCTTCCAGTTTTTCAACCTGAAATGTCAGTACTGTTATTGATTGTTTGTGTTTTATGCTTCAGTAATTCTCTCTGTAGTTCTTCTGAAAATAATCTGTTAACATGTGGACTATTATCTCTTTCCACATACTCCATTTTCCTCTGAAATAATGCAGTTCGGAAAAGGTGAGATGAAAGAAAGTGAAAGATAGCATATAAAGAAGAAAAAGGTTGAATGATAGTTGTCTGGAACTCAGCTCTGCCAAGTTACAGCTGAGTCTTAGCTTGCTTTTGAAATTCCCAAGTGAACCTTTCCTGAGATCTTTTAGCCAATGTTGTAGTTTAGAATTGGCACAGTTTGAGAAATTCAAACTTGGCATGCTGCATGATTTAAAGCTAGAAATTTAATATGCTCCTTATTTATGCTATGTTGGTAATGAAAAACAATATAACTTGCAATGCTTCACTCTTCTCAAGGTAAGATTTAAAGAATAAGCGAAGAGTTCCTGCTTAGGTGGAGCAGGAAATATCTTGTCCATCAACCCAAAATATTAAATTACACCCCTTCTTGAAGCATCTAATAAAAAGACTTATAAGGGCTCTTAAAAACATGAAGACCCTGAATTGCTTGATCTGCTCTGGATGCATAGCTAGATCCCCACAGAAGTGCTCCACTCTTGCTTTCTGAAGATGTAACTGGGTCTTTTGTGGTTTAGCAGTCAGTATGGTCCCTATATAAAACGTGAAATTTGGTGTAGCTGGGTCTTGAGCGATCCATAGATGTGAAAATTTTGTGAAAGATTAAATTCAATAAAGTGAGGAACACACGGCTGTACTTAAGCAGTACTTAGTCCAGTAATTAATAGATAAGCCTAACTGAGATGCCAGAATTGGCATCTAAAGGCACTGTAATTCAGATGCCATTTTCCCTTGGAGGTGCCTAGGGTCATGATTACACTCCTCTTTCTTTGTAATTTCTTCACCAGTTTGCTTCTGTGCATGCAATATTAGTTCATACTAAGCTGAAGTATCCATTGCACAGGTGAGGCCTGAAGAATATTCTTTCAACCAAAACCTTGTGAGCTTGTTTATCCCACATGAGCAGGATTAAGCTGAATAAATAATGTTTTTTTTTTTTTTTAAAAAAAAGGCACTTAAGCACTTTCTAGTAAATCTGGATGAAGTTATGCCACTATGTAGGGTTGAAATGAACTGTTATTGTCCACTTTTTTTAGTAAATATTCTAATTGCAACATTTTCTGTAAAAGTGAATTTTGCACTACCACCTAGCTTCTGCTTTGAAATAAGAGAATTAACTCTGCTTAGTCCTTTGAGAGAGGAGTTCCAGAAGACTGTGTATGAACCCACTAAGAAGGATTCCTGTCTTTGACGCCAGGGGACCCTTAAACTCTAGAGAAGTTTTCAGATGTAGCTCTTTGAATACTTCTATATCATCGCCTTCTCTGTGTCTGGGCTGTCCAGTTTACATTTCTAAGGGTCTTGACTCTCCATATGCTCTGAAACTGGAAGCCTACTTCATCATCAAGATGAACAACTTAAAATGCCTCAGTTCTTTGTTGAGTCTATTCTCGAAACTACTTGGGAGTTTGTGGAGATTTAGGTTCAGGTCTGTTATTATATAATGATGTGAGCAGTGGAAAAGATGAGCAGTTACATCTGGATCCTGTACTTTATGCTCACATTCAGCTTCAACCACATAGTGAGTTACTGTAATCCAGGGTGGAGGTCACAGATAGTTTGTCAAGATCACTATAAAGGAGAAAGAAATATAGAGCCAAATTCAAAAAAACATTTATGTGCCAAAAGTGCCACCTGGGATGAATTTAGTCTGTGGGTCCAGGTGAGCGATCTCCACAAAAACCTTCTCTACTTGTAATGTGGCTAAGAATCTCTAGACATCTCATGTTCTCACTGCCAAAGATTGTTAGGCACATAAAGATCTACCTCTGCCTTCCTGGAACAGTGTTGTTTTGCCTACTTAAGCATCTTAACACCTAATTTTTGGCCTTACAAAATAGACATATATTGCCCTTTAGATCTTAATCCAGTAGTTACGCCATGAGTGTGCATTATGCACATAGTCAGCAGAGAGTTAAGCACACAGCAAAGCAGTTGAGATTACTCAAAAGTATGGCTGGAGCCATGAGTCTTGTGATGGTATCACTGCTCTCCAGTGCTTCTGACCTTTTAAATCTCTATGTTTATCTTGAGAGTGACCCACAGGGAGTGTTTCCTGGTCTCATAGTCCTTCTCAGTTACTTTATCCTAAAGGTGAGTTTTAATTTGCTCTGGCAGCAGAAGACTTTCATGTAGGTGTTTCACTTCCATTAGCAGATGTTCTTATTACTATGTCATTATAAAAATGTAAAAAATTACATATATATGTTGATAGGTATCAAGAAAAAATAATAGAGAGATGAATGTCATGATCATGCTGTGATCACAATTTGGGGACGTGATACCTGCTGATTTATTTTGCTGTTGGTTTCATATACATTCTGTAAAGGGGATAGCATAGACTCTGACAACATGCAGAGACTGTAACAGCCTGCAGACAAGAGAAAGAGTAGTCATTGATTGCGTTCTGTGAGTCTTATCAGTGAGAAATTATTAGCTGCAAGAAGATACTTACTTCAGTGCTTTGAAGTTTTTTTAACAGAACAGCATGGAGATCATCTTACCTGTGTCGTGGCCATGCAGAGAGTAAGCAAAGGTTGCCAGAACAGGCTTTAGTCTCTGCCCTGATCTGAACCTGTGAAGCATCCACAACAACAGACCAATGTCACAAATTACTGGAACATTAATACTGTCACAATATTTTTCCCATGCTGTTGGCAATAGCTAGAAAGTCAAATACTGTTTTCTTTGGCTGAGCAAGATATTTAGTTTTCAAAGGCTTTTTTGAAGGAGAAGTTGATTAGTTCCATTAGCAATGGGCATAATTGTTCCTCAGTGCCTTTCACAGGACAGGAGTGACATGGATCCTTACATGGGTAGCGCTAATGTCTTCCAGCAGCAGCTTGCTTTATAGTTTAAACTTTTATATTAGGGCAACTTGGCTCTGGACCAGCACTTTAATGTTTCATTTTCATGCATAACCAGGGTTTATGGGAATAAGAAGTGAATATTCTGGTTTTGTGAATAAGTCCAGAGAGGCTTTGGCTGATTTTCCTTTCCTAATAGCATCATTTGAGTTCATAAAGCTTTTATTATTGTAAAAAGGAATCACTGAATTAAGACTGCAAGACTGCAATTTACTGTGAGGTAAATTCCTATGTTTGGGATCAATGCTGTTGAAATGAAGTAATCCTTGTCCAAAGAATGAGTGTGATTGTATAAGATCTGTCTAATATATTCATAGAGTTATATTTTTAATATTGTTTGGTTACTATGTTAAATACCTGAAAATAAGGATTCTCTGCCACTCAGTTTTTGTATGATTTTTGAGACTGCCTTAAATTCTCTTGAAAAGCGGAATAATTGTTTTGTTCATATAACACCTATAAGAATAATTAATTAGGATTATGGAAGGTACCTGAAATGTCTAGAGAACTGAATAAATAGAAAAATCAGGGTGAAAAAATGAATGAAAGACACTTGCTTTGCAATTCTTGACTTACTGATAAATGCTTTTCTTTTGACATGTTTTATTTTTGAAAATTATGCTTCTCTGCAGTTCTCCTCCAATGCAGGTTTGGTCTTCATTGCTACCATATCATGGCAGGCAGAAAAAAAATAAGTCAAAGTCAATTCAGTCCTTCAAATCGGATGTCAAAGCAATTATATACTTGCTAAAAAATTGTCACCTGCCCTCTTGGTTAAATACATTTGTGATTTTGCAATGTGTGATGTTAAAGTCGAAGTAAAATGTATTGCTGTGTTTGTTGAAACTGATATGCTCGTGTAACGTGGCAGATTCAGCAGCTTTGACTAACCAGCTCACATGCACGGCGTTAGTAAATATAAGCTGTCACTCTGACACGTATGCCTGTGTTGACTTTGTTACCTTGCAATCCATTCTGAGTGCATTTTCTTACGATTACCTTTTTATCAGTTGTCCCTGTGTGCTTTTATAGCTGACAAATCTCTTCTAAGTAACTAGGGAGATATATTTCTTCCCTCCATTAACTAGACATTAAAAGCTACATCAAATAATGGAGCTGGGAGTTTGAAAATTCAATGAGGCGTTATCTAACTTTA